CACACTTTCCCAAATGACACGAGAACCAATAGATGGCTATCCTTCAAAACCATCCCTTATCTGAATTTTGTGATGCAGTTCTCCAGCCCAACAATATTTACGAAAAGGCACACAAGAAGGGAAAGTGTGCAATGAATAGAGTTGTGAATACAACATACAGAAAAGCAGTACAAGTGGAGAAACTACTTGCAAAAAATATATATATACCTTAAGCAATGAAATGTGTTTATGGGGAGGGGGGAGAATTCACACTACAATGCTGGTGAATTTTCATGGGGATTATCTTTTAAAAGAATTTGCAGATTTCTGCAGAAATGTGGAAAACTGAATCTAAGAATGGAAAAATGAGAAACCAAAAGAACCCTAATCGATGAGATTCTTTCATCCTTAGTAGTAGCCATTGACAACTAGTCATGGCTACTCCAAAGGAAGGCCACAGGAAGGAGGAGGGAGCAACAGCACTCTCCCTACATGAAACTGATATCCATAGGCTAACTACCTCTGACGCATGCAGACATAAAGGGCCATCATTGCCAATAGCCAATAGCCTTATCCTCCAGGAATTTCTCTAGCTCATTTTTAACATCATAAGAACATGAGACGACCCTATTGGATCAGGGCAAAGGCCCATCTAGTTCAATATCCTGTTCCCATTGTAGCAACACAGATGCCTATGGAATGCCTGAATGCAGAATCTGTAGGTAACAGCACCCTCCCCACTTGGTACTGAGAGACAGGCTGTCTCTGATGCTGTAGATAGTATTCAGCTACTGACATGGTTAGCCTCAGCCTCCACAAATTTGTCTAAGCCTCCTTTAAAGTCTGCAACCATCACATCAGTGTTGTTCTTGATTTCCTTCTCTCTGCTATTCTCACTATTCCGTGCTTTAGACTTAATCCCAAAAGATAGCGACCTCTCAGAGAGAACAAAATTAGAGGCTCTCGTTTCAGAAAGTAACGCTCTGAGCTTTGATTTCAGTTGTTCTCCGTATCTTGCCAGAAGGAACCAGAAACCTAGAATGATTTTTTTCCACAGAGAACAGCAGTTCAAAACCCCACTAAAGTCCATGGCAGTTTTTTTGTGGGCTTTTTTTTTTGGCTGAGTTCAGTGAACCTTGAATCTAGCCCCCGAGACCACCTCAATGCCAGGCAGTCTGACCTGCACTGTGCATCCGAGCTCCTTCTTCGAACAAATTGCTGTTTGATCTTGGACTGACTGAAAGACGTCCTCATCTAGCAGCATAGGATGAAGGAATGTTGTACGGGGAGTGGAATAGGGAATTGTCAGACCTGCAACATTCAGAGGTCATTATGGAGGAGCCCAATCCAACAGAAAAAAATGCATAGGATAAATAAATAAAATATTTGGAAGGAGGAGAAAGAAGAAATGAATGATACTATAAAATAAAAATAAAAAAACATTTTTCAGGGGAATTTCACATATTATGTTTCAAGTATCTCACAAAATTCATTGCACAGAAAAAACAACAACCTCTTACTTTCCTTAACTAGAGATTGCCAGCAGAATAGGCCTTGATGGATCTGTGCTCATCTCCTTCCTGCACCCCTAATAAGTATAAGTGCTAACCATGCAAGGGCCACGCAGGGGCCCAGGCACCCTCAAATTTCCGGTCTTCTTCTTTGACGATCACTCGTAGCTGAGTAAGATTGTCTTCCATACACACAGTTTTAACAGTCCGTAAGTGACTGTGGAGGCCAATTCTGGATCCACACATCCTTCCACAGTGGGGACACAGGTTTCCAGGCAGGAGTTGATCATGGTGAGGGTTTGCCAAGTGTGCCTTCCTCTTAGCACGTTTCTCACTTTCATCCTGAGTTCAAGCATCTTCAAAGCCCATGACACCTTTCATAAAGGCTGTTCTCCAATTGGAGCGCTTGCAGGCGAAGGTGAAGATAGATGTAGCGTATTAAGAGGATTCGCAGTGGGTCCTTCACCCACAGTGTGATCTCTGCTACACAACTTGCATTGCAGGCATGCCAACCAGTAAGTCAAGTGCTGGTTCAGCTGTCTCTCTGTGTTCAATTCTCATGCTTTGGCAGGTTTCCCATATATATATTAACACAAATTATTAGATTACACAAGCCACAGAAATAGATGTAGATCAGGGGTAGGGAACCTCAGGCTCAGGGCCCAGATGTGACCTGCTAGGCACCTCTGCCAAGACCTTGGCACTTTCCTCAGGTCACATCTGGGCTGCACCCTAACTTGTTCATAAGATACTTGGAATAGAGGTTAGATGGATGCAACCCTATTGTATCCTGTTGCTCTGTTCATGCAGCAGACTTGCTTTTCTTTTTGCGATTGAAGTTCCTCTGTCTCTTCTTCCCTTAGCAGACACTCAAAATTTGCTCCAGAAGGTTGGGAGTTTCAGCTGCTGGAAGTCACAGCAGGGGAGAGTGCTCTCATGCTCAGGTTCTTCTTGCAGGTTTCTCATAGGCACCTGGTTGGCCACCGTGAATGGGCTGGATGATGGTGTCAGGTGTGCATGCAGCAGCCAGGCCCTGTGACCAGTAGGACTTTGCAGGACTGGGGCTTGCCTAGGTTTGTTCTGAAGAGGCAAGGCACGGCCACACAGGTGAGGCCGATTGGTAACTCACAGCACCTGGTGGCAAGAGCCGGGAAGGGATATAAGATTAGCATTTTCCCTTTGGCTCTTTGCCACAGCAACACATTCCCTGCCTTGCTGTGCTTGACTCCTTGCTTCTTGATCCTCGGACCCCTGACTTCATGACTCCTTGCTTCCTTACCCTCTGACCCTTGGCTTCTTGACTTCCGGCTCTCTGACCCTTGGACTCTTGGCTTTCTGACTCCTGGCTTCTGGACTCCCATTCCTGCTCCCACCCCGCCATCTTGACCCCGGTCCCGACGTCCCCAGCCAGGATTTTTTGCCTGGTGCCAATGTAACAAAGGTGACAGATGAGCTTCCCTGAGAAGGGTATTCCACAAATGGGGAGCCACCACAGTAAAGGTCCATTCTTGGGTTGCCACCTTCTGAACCTCTCACAGAGGAAGCACAACAAAAGGGCGTCAGGTGATGGTCGCAGGGTCTGGATCAGTTCATATGGGGAGAGGCGGTCCTTGAGGCATTGTGGCCCTGAGGCTTTTAAGGCTTTATAGGTCAAAACCAAGGGACGCGGGTGGCGATGTGGGTTAATCCACAAAGCCTAGGACTTGCCGATCAGAAGGTTGGCGGTACGAATCCCAGCGACGGGGTTTGCCAGATGGGGTTTGCTCTGGTTTGCCAGAAGCAGCTTAGTCATGCTGGCCACATGACTCGGAAGCTGTACGCCGGCTCCCTCGGCCAATACAGCGAGATGAGCGCCGCAACCCCAGAGTCTGTCACGACTGGACCTAATGGTCAGGGGTCCCTTTACCTTTGACCTTAGGTCAAAACCAGCACTTTGAATGGGGTCCAGAAACTAATTGGTAGCTGGTGCAGTCAGGCCAGGACACTGGCGGAGGAAGAGGGGGGTGGGAGGAGCACGCTGCTCCCGGCAGTGCGATCTCGGTGGGGTGCGAAAATTTTCAGGGAGGAAGATGGCTGCCGAATGCTTGAAGCAGGGTTTTGAACTCTAAGGCCAACTCTAAGGCAAGTTTCTGCTCTGTAACCAACCCCGGAACGCGCATCACACCCCTGTGGATGGCGTGCCACATCCCTGGGACACGGGACACGCCCCTGGGATGCACGCCGGCCACGCCCCACCAGTTCTCCACACCCCTCAGTGCCGGAACATGAAGCTCCGCCACTGGGCCAGGATTGGTGTGATACACTCAAACCATCTTGCCCAGTGAGCAACCTGGCCAATGAATTCTGCACCAGCTGAAGTTTCTGAAGCATCTTCAGAGGCAGCCCCACATGTAACAAATTGCAGTTATCTAACCGAAGCAAAGACAGAAGAAGTTAAGACTATCCAAGTCCATATAGGGGAGCAGTTGGGCAACCAGCCAAAGCTGATGGAAAGCTCACCGTGCTACTGAGACCACCTGAGCCTCAAGCGACAACAATAGGTACAGAAGTACCCACAAACTGCATACCCGATCCTTCAGAGGGGATGTAACCCCATCAAGAGCAAGCCTTGAAATCTCTTACCTTGGAGAAAGGAAGCAGAAGAAGGGGAGTCTGGATTTGATATCCCGCTTTATCACTACCTGAAGGAGTCTGAAAGTGGCTAACATTCTCCTTTCCCTTCCTTCCCCACAACAAACTCTCTGTGAGGTGAGTGAGGCTGAGAGACTTCAAAGAAGTGTGACTAGCCCAAGGTCACCCAGCAGCTGCATGTGGAGGAGCGGAGACACGAACCCGGTTCACCAGATTATGAGTCTACCACTCTTAACACCACACTGGTTCTAATCAACCTCGATTTTTCGTCCTCCTTAAGAGAAGTGCAATTAAAACAGCTCACACTTTGCAAAGGTACATTTAGGGCTTTGTGTTTGCTCCCAAGTAAACTGTGGGACCCCTTTCCTTTCAAAGCTACCAACGGGACCAGACACACAGAGGCAAAAGTTAGTTAGAACAGCACTATTAATTTATGCCTCAGCAACAATGGCCCCCAAGACGGGAAGAGGCGTATATTAATTTATTTCCAGCATGTAACATTGCTAAGCTAACGCATTTAGCCGTGAACACTTACCTCACCCCCTGCTGCGAAGGCAAATGAAGCACTTTTCGGAGGAAGGGGGATTTGCATCATAAAGCCACTAGATGGCAGCTTATGCTTAGGGATGCAGGATTCTGCAGACACCTTTGAGGAAAGAAAGAAAGAAAGAAAGAAAGAAAGAAAGAAAGAAAGAAAGAAAGAAAGAAAATAAATCTCTCCCCTCCCCACACCCATTTCCTCCCTGTATCTCTCACACCTTATGGGACAAATGTCCAGTGATGCCCCAGAATACATATTCAACAAGGGACCACAGAAAATCCCGGCTCTGGGATGAGCCTACTTGGATGAAGGTCCAAATTCACAGGCAGATTTCTGCAGCTGGGATAGCTCAGTAGGTAGAGGGTGAGATTCTTAATTCAGGGTTATGGGTTTGAGCCCCATGCCAGGCAAAAATATTCCTGCCTTGGTTCCCTCCAACTCTACAATTTATTGCTTATGTGTTGTCGACATTCACACATGACATTCCCCTGGAGTGCATTTAAAGCAACTTATGCATACAGTGAAAAAACGCAGTGTGTGACACAATGTGTGAAGATGGCCCTTCTTCCACCTGAACTGTAAATTGTTGAGGTGTATGCCAGCAAACAGGAGGCTGAAGGAGTAGAAGCTGCCCTAGAATTATAGAATTGTAGAACTGGAAGGGACCATAAGGGTCATCTAGCCCATCCTCCCTGCAATGCAAGATTCTCAACTAAAGAATCCATGGCAGATTATTATTTTCATTTATTAGACTTATTGGTTGCTTGTCACCCGAAGGTCTCCAAGCGATTTACAGGAAAAAAGAAGAAAAAGAAAAGATATACAATACATAATTTATGCCCCCAGCCAGATACACAGCGTATAAATGATTAAATAATTAAAAAAAATTATTGTTAAGGGGGAAAGAGGGGGAATCACGCAATTACTATTTCATATAACATAACATCCATGGAAAGCAATGATTTATGCATTTAAAAGATGTAAATCCCACAAAGATTAGGGGCTGGACCTACAAGCTTCACCCCGTTCTGGGTAAACTTCCGGGAACCACATGTCAGGGGTGGGTGGGGCTGATCGCAAATGTGGGTGGAGTAACATATGCAAATTTTATGTTTCTGCAATAGGGTGGAATCTACAAACACTCGCAAAACATCAGAATGCAAGGACACATTCCAGACAGGCAAAAATATTCGAGGAAGGTGTCAGGCAGGTTTGGATGAAGGGGAGGGGGCTTGGCCCGAGGAGAGGTCTGGGGGCTATATTTGGCATGCAGGCTTGAGTCTCCTCCTCCTGGTGCAGGCAAGGGACACCACACGCCCAACTCAAAAATCAACAGTATTAAACAGTATTAAACGAAACAGTGCTCAGCAGCTATCGCAGACGGAGAATAAAAGGTCAGCCATACCTTTGGTAAACAGCTTCAGAAGTTGGTGAAATTTGTTGGGATTTTAGAGAAGAGACAAATGACACAACCCCTTCCATTCTTGTCCGGTTCAGATTGGAATCTAAATCTGAGAAGAATTCCTGGTTAACCTCATCTTGGTCACCCAGCCCTGAAGGTGGGTAGGAGTGTTTATAGAAACCAGCCTACTGTGCAAACAGGGGAAATATTTGTTGCGCCATCCAGTTTTGTTGAGGAGTTTTGCCTGCCGCTGGTATGTGGCCCTCAAAAGGTTGTGTGGAAGGGAATGTGGTCCTATTGGCTGAAAAAGGGTTCCCTATGGCGGGGTAGGCATTAGTGAGGTGGATGGATCAATGGTCTAACATAAAATCATAGAATTGAAGAGGTGGAAGGGAGCCTGAGGATCATCTAGTCCAACCCCCATCCAATGTGGGAATATGCAACTGTCCCATACAGGGATCAAACCTGCAACCTTGGCACTATCAGCACTGTACTCTAACCACCTGAGCTATCCAGGCTTGGACATACCCTCTAGCATTTCTCTGATGAAAATAGGGACGTCCTAGTCAGTTGTTGTTGTTGTTGTTGTTGTTGTTGTTGTTTTACTATTTATACCCCACCCCTCTGACTGGGTTGCCCCAGCCACTCTGGGCAGCTTAAAGCATGTATAGAAACATAATAAAACTTTAAATATTAAAAAAAAACACCCTTTTCTATATAAGGCTGCCTTCAGATGGCTTAGGGGTTGCCCTCCAACATCTCTCTGTTAAAAATAGGAATGTCCTATAGACTAGAAAAAAGGCTGATCACCGAAGAATTGATGCTTTAGAATTCTGGTGCTGGAGGAGACTCTTGAGAGTCCCATGGACTGCAAGAAGATCAAACCTATCCATTCTGAAGGAAATCAGCCCTGAGTGCTCACTGGAAGGACAGATCGTGAAGCTGAGGCTCCAGTACTTTGGCCACCTCATGAGAAGAGAAGACTCCCTGGAAAAGACCCTGATGTTGGGAAAGATGGAGGGCACAAGGAGAAGGGGACGACAGAGGACGAGATGGTTGTACAGTGTTCTTGAAGCTACCAGCATGAGTTTGACCAAACTGTGGGAGGCAGTGGAAGACAGAAGTGCCTGGCGTGCTCTGGTCCATGGGGTCACGAAGAGTCGGACATGACTAAACAACTAAACAACAACAACAACAAACAAGGAAAAGCAGGGCATTCTGGGATTAAATCAGAAACTGGGATGGCTTCTGTAAATCAGGGACGTCCCTGGAAAATAGGGACACTTGCAGGGTCTGGTCTGATAGGGTAGCTTCTTATGTTCCTAGCAACAGACAACTGCCACCAGGTTTGATCCAGTTGCTCAGCTTTCCTCCCTTTCCTGCTCAGCTGTGCTGCCTAGTAGGTAGAGGCCAAAGGGCAACACCAAGAAGGAGAGCAGAAAATGTCCCCAGAACAAGGCTGGCACTGTAGGGGAGCCACGTTATTCCTGTTCCTGATGGAGGACCTGGATGTGACTTTACTTTTTATTGTGAGAATCTTTTCACAAGCCACATCATTGGGGCTTGGGGTTATAAAGTGGGATATAAAAGTTCTAAACAAATTAATAATAGTATTGGGATTGGCTCTGGTATCTCACATGACTCCCAGGATCAAGAGGAGTCTGGTCCATGGTGGTTGCATCCTGGCTTCAACTGCCTGCTCTTTCTGCCAGGAGGCAAGAAGTCCAGTAGTGATAGGGAGTGGTAGACCACCTCCATACCTGTGAGGCTCCTGGTTCAAGCTTAGGGATGGGGAACAAATTTGATTCAGTTTGCACTGAAAGGTGAATGTATCTTATTTCCACATTCCAAAACAGTGTGTGAACCAATACACTGCCCTTTTTTTTCAAAATTCTCCCGATTTTACTGTCCAATGCTCCAGCCAACTCATGTGTACAAAAAGTGCATCTAGACCGTAGAGTTGGAAGGGAGGGTCATCTAATCCAACCCTCTGCAATGCAGGAATCTCAACTAAAGTCTGCATTAAAAAAAGACATATGTAACATACAGAAATGCATACAACTTACTGGCACTGTTATATGGGCCATATAATACCCAATCTTTTAGCACCCAAGCTTTGGAATTCCCTGCTTCTTGCTTTCATTGCACTCTTTTTGGCACCAGTTTTGTTTAGACGAGCCCACCCAGATGTTTAGAACATCGGTGCGATTCTTGATTTGCTTTTAGTCTATTGCAATTTTCACTTCTTGAAAGTTATTATTAATCTGTCTTATTTATCATTTTGCTTCAGCTTTCTTTTTTGGTAAACTCCAATCAGGCTTTCACAATGAAGCAGGGCACAAATTCTTTTGCAAAAATGTTTGCATTAGGCAAAATTGCATGCCAGAACGTGCAAATTAGGAGCCATCGGCACTAAAATAATAGAATCATACAGTTGGAAGGGAGGGTCATCTAGTTCAACGCCCTGCAATGCAGGAATCTCAACTAAAGCATCCATGACAGATGGCCGTCCAACCTCTGCTTAAAAACCTCTACTGATCAATGCTGGAAAGAAAGAAAAATCTCCAGCTGATGTGGCAATGTGGAGAACTGAACCCGAAAAATGAGAAAGGGAGAGAAACTGAAATTGATGGATTTCTCCATCCCTATTCAAGACTTATGGTCTTATTCAAGAGCATGGGTAGGCAAACTAAGGCCCGGGGGCCAGATTCGGCCCAATCACCTTTTAAATCTGGCCCGAGAACAGACCGGGAATCAGTGTGTTTTTACAGGAGTAGAATGTGTCCTTTTATTTAAAATTCATCTCTGGCTTATTTGTGGGGCATAGGAATTCGTTCTTCTTTTTTATCCCCTTCAAAATATAGTCTGGTCCCCCACAAGGTCTGAGGGACAGCGGACCGGCCCCCTGCTGAAAAAGTTTGCTGACCCCTGTTCAAGAGAGTGACATCTCTCTGCTTTCATTTCCATGCAAGAGAATTTAACCTTGCCTAAAGTGTGCCTTTCTTCTCCTGCCCACCTTCTCATTCCTTTGATTTGCATCATCATCACCTGCACACACCATGATCTAATCCATGAGGTTTCTTTGCCCTTTCTCCCACCCACCTACTCACCACAGCCTCTCTTCCCCCTCCTGTCATCACAGCCTGCTTTGTGCAATTCTCTGCTGATGGTCCCCAAGCAGAAGTGTTCATGTGGCATCTGCTTCGCTGAATCCACCACTGTCCTCCCTCCTTTGGAGCATCTAGGGCACTCTTCCCTCCCTACTGAGACAGCTGACATTCTTCCCCTGAGAGCATCCATCGCTGACTGCTGCATAGGAGCTTCTCCTGTGGAGAGGGAAGAGAAACATCCACAGCAGCATTTGAGGCACTGATACAGCTATCGGTCCTGGTTGGCATTAGTCAGTTATGACGGAAAGCCTCCTGGCAAGAGGAGATGGTAGATACTTGAACATCACCCTAAGAACACAAGAATCTGCCATGGTCCAACTAGCTTGGTATCGTCTAACATACCAACATTTCTCCAATGAAAATAGGGACATTCTATTCCACGTTAGGGACGCGGGTGGCGCTGTGGGTTAAACCACAGAGCCTGGGACTTGCTGATCAGAAGGTCGGCGGTTTGATTCCCCACAATGGGGTGAGCGCCCGTTGCTCTGTCTCTGCTTCTGCCAACCTAGCAGTTCGAAAGCACGTCAAAGTGCAAGTAGATAAATAGGTACCGCTCCGGCGGGAAGGTAAACGGTGTTTCCGTGCGCTGCTCTGGTCCCCCAGAGTCGGCCACGACTGGACCTAATGGTCAGGGGTCCCTTTACCTTTACCTTTATTCCACATTAACAACAACAATAATAATAACCCATCTGACTGGGCTGCCCCACCCACTCTGGGTGGCTTCCAACATATATAAAAAGATAATAAAACAGCGCTGAGGGCCTTGCGGTGGTTCCCTTGCTGCGAGAAGTGAGGTTACAGGGTACCAGGCAGAGGGCCTTCTCAGTAGTGGCGCCTGCCCTGTGTAACGCCCTCCCAGCAGGTGTCAAGACAATAAACAACTATTTTATTTTTAAAAGACAACTGAAGACGGCCCTGTTTAGGCAAATTTTCAATGTCTGATGCTGTATTGTTTTTAATATTTTGCTGGGAGCCACCCAGAGTGGCTGGGGAAACCCAGCCAGATGGGCAGGGTATAAATAATAAATTATTATTATTATTATTATTATTATTATTATTATTATTCTCCTACGTACCAGTTCGTCTTTCATCTCATGTAGCAGAAAGTTTGGGCTAACCCAGCTTCTTCCTGCTTCTGCATTTTACCACCCACCATGCAAATGAGTCAGATCTCCTGTTTACCAATGGTTGCTTTAGACCAGAGTTTCCCAAACTGGGGTCTCCAGCTGTTGTGGAACTACAACTCCCATCATCCCTAGCTAGTAGGACCAGTGGCCAGGGATGATGGGAATTGTAGTCCAAAACAGCTGGAGACCCAAGTTTGGGAAACCCTGCTTTAAACTTGTATTTAATTAAAGTACCACTTAATGCCAAAATAAGGGGTCTACAAGTATATAAAGAAAAACCCAACAGCGCAAACCAAATCTATAGGTACGTAACTGAAATATAGAACAGAACGATCCCATGGAAGCGTGAAGATTTGGGAGAAGAAATCTGTACACATGATTAAAAAGTGAATTTTAAATGAAGCCACCTTTTGATTTATTGAGCGCCATCTGGAGCTACTTCTGGCCATAGGAGGAAAGCCAGAGACATCAAGGAAGACCGGGAGCTGGAGGGGAGCCAGCTTGAGGAGCTGAAAAGGGAACGGAGAGGAAACCGCTTTACGTGAGGATATAACAAGAGCTCAATTGGATCAGGTCCATGACTGACCCAGTCCAGTTCTCACAGTGGCCAACCAGATGTTCCAGTGGGTAACCTGGAAGCTGGACATGAGAACAAGAGCATTCTCTTCTCCTGTGGTTCGTAGTATTTGGTATTCAGAAGTATAATGTCCCCAATGGGGCAGGGAGAACACAGCCATCAGGGTCAGTAAAAAAAAGGTAAAAAGTAAAGGACCCCTTCATGGTTAAGTCCAGTCAAAGGCGTCTATGGGGTTGCGGCGCTCATCTCGCTTTCAGGCCAAGGGAGCCGGTGTGTGTCCAAAGAGAGCTTTCCAGGTGTCATGTGGCCAGCATGACTAAACCGCTTCAGGATGAGAACAGAAATCGTGCGGCGGTGGCACAGCGGCAGTGGGAGACCCCATTAGCTACAGTGGTACCTCAGGTTAAGAACAGTTTCAGGTTAAGAATGGACCTCCGGAATGAATTAAGTTCTTAACCCGAGGTACCACTGTAATGTGCTAAGAATCCTTTGTCTCACTTCAATAAACACACAGATGCTTGCATTGGGTTGCAAAAAGAGAAGCCAGAGGGAAATGGAATGCAGAACAGTACAGACCGTGGTAATTATGCATTTAACAGCGGCAATTCACAAAACGGTTCTCAGCAACACAGACATCCTGACAT